CACGCTTTATCCGTCATAAGCAGGAGGAAATGGACCCTTATTCTAATATCACAATCCATCAATTCATCATGTTATCCGTTATTATAACTCATGGATAAACCACCTACATCGTTCATCGTTTTCATTATACAATAAACCAGCAACACATTCCATAATAAACACAGGAGTTATCTTTAGAAACAATTACAATTTGTTTTCCACAATATTATTTACTTCTCTTCAATTAATACCAACTCTTTATATTCACTTATATAACACAATTAGAATCTTACACTTTCCATAAATTTATTAATTCAATTTCCAACAATTAATTATTCCCTAACATAACCCTCACATACCAATATTATTTTCGCAACAATTGAGTCTCATTACGTATACTCATCTTACCTAATCACATACTTAATTTCAAGAAATTAAAGTCAATTAAAACAAATACCCACGTTTAAAGTAAGTTCATAATTAGGGTTAGACCAAATTGAGGGCTTTTTACTTAGAGGTACAAAATCACATTCTACTTACTCAACACTTCCATAACCCACCTCAATTTCACATTTAATTCCCCAAATTTGAAAACCTTAACTTCTTTTGCATGCTTTTGAGAAAATACCCTCAATAAGAGGTTTTTATGTAATACACAAAGTACCACCCATCTATCTATATGAAAATATTGTAAAGAAGTAAGGAATCCCTAACTCTAGCAAGAAGAGAAGAAGTCCGAAATTCCAACTTCGATGAAAACGTGATCCGCTTGGATGGATAGAAAGCCCTCGACGTGCTCTACATTTTTATAGAAAGAACATGGGGTAGAAAATAAGTAGAAAACGAAGAAAATCAAGCTTAAAAGCTTGAAACCCTAAAAAAATGGTGGAATTGAGAAAGAGAAGAGAGAAAGGATATGAGAAAATAAAGGAAAGTGGAGCAAAATGGATTTTATAGATGCTAAATCCCGACCAAACCGCTCGAGCGTCAGAGACACCATACTGCTCAAGCGACCAACCCTGCGCTCGAGCGAAAATCAGCAGCTCTCAGAATCTCAGACCTACAAAAGTACTGGGAGGTTTGCAAGACTGCTCGAGTGATCATTCCATCGCTCGAGCGATGAAAAAAAAAAATCTAGAGTGCTACAGTAGTTATTTGTCATACTACTTTCATGTGGTTTTGTGTTCAACTCTCCCAAGCAACATATTTTTGCAAATTTGTTTGTCATTTGGCAAAATGGGAGCCTGACCGATTTAGTTAAAATCGTTCCAATTTGAATGGTACTCAAACCTTAAACTAATCGACGACTAGTTGAATTGGTTAGTCCGGTTCGATTTTCAAAACATTGCTATTCACATTTGGCGACCAAAATGTTGGTCAATGAAAAATTACATTTGACGACTAAATAGTTAGTCGACTTATTCATATAATTGCCAACTAAAGTTTTGATAGGGAAAACAATACTTTTGGCGACTAATGTTTTTGGCTACCAAATGGTGTAGTCGTGGTAGTTATATGTTCAATGATCAAAAATTTAGTCACCAAATACTTATTTTTGCCAACTAATAATTTTTTTTAGTTGTGGATTACTTTCCCCGACTATGTATTAGCGATCAAAGTGACAACCAAGATTTTTTGTCGCAGAATGTTTTTGCCAACTAAAAATTGCCTTTTTTGCAACAAAAATTTTAGTCGGCAAAAGTGTAATTTCTTGTAATAAGGGGTGCACATGGATTGATTTGGTTCAGGTTAGTAATAAATTTAGAAAAATCTAATCATAGTCAATTTTAACTTTTTAGACCCAAGACTAAACCAATCATGGGCTAAAACTAAACCAAACCAACCCAATGTGGCTTGGGTTGGAACCATTGTTCCCCTATGCTTAAAATAAATGAATCAATGAACAATATATGGTTAGAATAGTCAAGTGTTGAACATTTAATAATAAATAATTAGAATAAACTAGTTTTGAACATTTTAACATAATACAGGTAAAGAAGAACATTGGAAAAAAAAAGTAGTCAAGTTTGGTTATATATGAGTTATTAATAACCATATATACGAAAGATTGGGAGTAATGTGGTGGATCAAGGAGTAAATGAAAGATGAATAAATAATTAGTACAAACTTCTTTCTCTTGTTTATGAAATAATTAAATGATGAGGTGAAATCAAGTTTATCGTAATTTTTGCAACAAACCATTATATGAAAACATCTCAATATAAATAAAATTTTATGTAATATATATAAGTTTGAGTCTTGGGTTGGTTATGAGAATTACGAGTGTTTACGGGTCGGTTCGGGTCGATTTTCCTGACCATCCATCAACCGAATCGAACACTTCGGTTTAGCAAATATGTCAACTGATATTGACTGATGTTGTTTCGAAACCGTTGACTTCGGGTTGCATAAAAATCGGTCGGGCTTTGGTCGGTGGTGCTTTCTATCATCTTCCTCAACTGCATCAAAGATTAGGATTTTAAGAGAGAGATATCAAAGGCGGAATGGGAGGGGATGAAAAAGAGAAGCAGCAAGGGATGAGAAAGGAACACAACAATAACGCCACCACCTCACCGCCATTGTCCTAACCAAAGATATTTGATTTTTCACTAAAGTAATGAGAGAGAGTTATCAATGCACATAAGAGGAAAATGCTTTGTATTGGTAATGATGTAGTGTATTCATTGAATAGACATTTCTATGACAATTAAGGGTCACTGTATTAAAAGTACAGTAGTGACTGTTGTGTCTTAATTTGAGGTGTATTATGGATTTATTTTTATCATTCGAACCATTCGTTTTGTAGGGTTTGTTGAGCACTTTGTGCCTACCAAAAATCATATGAATCGGATATCAATAATTATATGATCGAATTACATATTTTTTATACTATTTCTCAAAAGAAAAATTTATTGTTTACTTTTTTTTATTATCGATCATATAGTTATTGGTATCCGATTAATATGATTTTTGGTAGACATGAAGTACTCAACAAATCTTACAAAAGAGACGGTTTGGATCATAAAAATAAATCCATAATACATCTCAAATTGAGGCACAATAGTCACTGCTGTGCCTTTAGCACAGCAGTGCGTATTGATGAAGTGAATGGAGAGAGTGGATTGATGACAGAGCATTTCTTATCGAAGTAAATTGATGAGAGATTTATTAATTAAGAGAAGAGGAAAGGGTTTTTGTCTATGTAATGATGTTGTGTGTTGGTGAAGTAAATCTCTCATATGAGAGAGTGGACTGATGGCAGAGCATTAATTATGATGTAAGTGAAAAGTTACTAACAAATAAAATTATACCATGTGTATAGTAGAGCGTAAATATATCTTCGGTAGGTCGGTCGAATTGTATTTGGGTGGAACGTTCTGAATTTGATGACTAAATCGTAATTCAATTTTTTCATTGTTTAGCACCTATTTCTAGCTGTGAAAGGTAGCAAAACCAACCGTAGAGTGGCGGGTCGGATGGTTTTGTGAACAACCCTAATGAGAATCAATCCAATCTTATTAGTTTGATGATTTTAAAATTCAGAACCAAACAACCTAACCCATAGATATCAAGTTGGTTCGGTTTTCAAGTTTTCTAAGTATTTTGTGCTCTTGTAGTTGCAGAGTTGAGGGAGGTTGAGAAAGGGACAATGGTGGTACGGATGGATTGTGGATAGGCTGGCAAGGATGGGGAGAGGTTGGGAAAGGTCATTGAAGCTGGGTATGGGTAGGGTTGTGTTGGCTGGAGCTTATGGGGTGGGGTACGGGACACTTATTCTGTGTACTGACTTATGAGTTTTGAAAGTCAACAACCATGTTATTTACTTAAGGTTTATTTCATTTTTATCTCTAAAGTATTACCATTTATCTATTTTATTTTTAACTATTAATTTCATCTATTTAATCTTTAAAATTTCTTATTTTGACTCATGTAGTCCAATTACAAAAGATTGGACAAATTAGTAATCGTTGAAATCTAATTTGATGGTCAAAAAGGTCATTTTAAAATTTAAACATACAACAAACATCCATCAAATTGGTTGTAGGATGTAATTTGTTTGACATAGTAAACCAAAAAAAAAAAAAAATAGTATGATTTAAGTAGTTCAAATTTTGAAATAACAATTTTATCGATCTGATCAATTTTCAATGGTTATTGATTTGTACAAAATGACAATTTTACCAATCAAATAAAGTTTTAACAATTACTGATTTGTACAACCTTCTCTCATTGGACCACATGAACTATAATAAGAAACATTAAAAACTAAATAGATCAAATTAATAATTTATAAATAAAATAGATAAAATAATAATAATTTATGAGATAAAACTGAAATTAACCTTTTCTTGTGCTGCAATTAGCAGTGACTGCCATCACCATCAGAAGCAAAACCAACACAACTGCCATCTCTCAGTAACTGTCATCAACAAATCACCTCCTCCACTTAGCCACTACCTACTTCACTTTTCTTCTACCAAAAATACTTAAGAGCTCTAAATTAGGAAATCTAGAAGAGCTCTAATTTGTCTTCTTCTTCGTGATGATTTGCCTTTTTCTCTTCTTTTTTTTTTTCTTTCTTTCTTTATTTTTTTATGTTTGCCCTTGCCAATTATGTAGAGCTCAATCTAGAACTCTACACCTAGTGTTCCCCATCACAGCCGTATTAATTTGCCCTTGAAGTCCATGCCCGTTTTAATAATATCAACAATGCTATAAACTCAGAAAATTTACTTCGAAAAACACTCAAAAAGACAATGTCTGATGGCAATTTGTTTCTAGTATGGATCCCACCACACAATAATTAAATCTAGACCACACATCACTTTTTGAGATAAAATTCTTGACAAGTTTTCATGTTTCCTAATTTTCCTGTTTTGTATATGAACTTAAAACTTTATGACTTATTCACCCAAAAAAAAAAAAAACCTTAAAGCTGTGCAGAGCTCCTCCCAACTTTATGGGCACAGAAGGTATGTATCAATTTACAACATGGTAACAGGAAAAAAAAAAAATGAAGG